TAAATTGGTTTCATTTTGCATGCCTTTTACCAGATGACACAAAAAATGGCAAACCCGGAGAAAATCAAAAGTATGGCATTAATATGAAATTAGACTTGTCATTAACATTGCTTTACAATCCCATGAATAATGTAACGCATACGATGGAAAATAATATACATAATACCCATTTATTTACATCAGAATCTGATTAACTGTATATATCACAATGATATTGCTCGTCCTTAAAGTGATTTCTAACAATAATCATTCTACTCATTCCATTCAAGATTAAGGACAAAAGTCTCTATTTTTATCAACAATTCAAAAGAATCATTTTTGAAAATATACAATGAGAATCAATTCAAATTTAAATCTTGCCGTGGTGACAATTGTGTCAACAATGGCATGGTTTCCCTTTTCAAATGGCGTTCGACATAACATCGATTCAAATTTTGAACATTTCAATCCTTGAATGATTTGAATTCGTTGTAAATGCACTGGCTTATTGTTGGCTGATGGCTTTGGGGTATCTCAAATTTTGTTATAAGCCATGGAAACGATTTTTATATTCAAATATCAAAGTTTTCGTGTTTAAATAGTTTCCAATCAAAATATTTTGCTCTCAGTCCTTTCTTATGCGTAGTTTCATTTCTACTTATCAGAGGATAAGGTTAAATTCACTTCGCGGAAACTATCGGATTGGTCCCAAAACTCTTGTACGAACGAAAATATCGTCCGGTGCTAGTCCGAATGATGTTGCATAGCTAGCGCCATAACTTCAAACGATGGCAAAGTGTTTGGAACTATTGTGTATGTGTGCACTGTATGATTGTATTGTGTCATCTTAAGCATAATAGAGCATAACTCAATCAAGGCAGAAGACAGCAAACAACGTGCGGCGCTGCTATGCAACAGCATTCCTTTATACACAGGCTCTTATAGGGCACAATCACCGGACGGAAAATATCCACCTCCGCATTTCAAGTTGTTCCGTTATCAACTCGTGATTTTCGAGTTTTTAACAAAATAAAGAGAAATGGTTGAAAATCAGGTTTGCACCAAATCAACTTTCCTTTGATTGCTAAACAAAAAAAAGTGCTGTTGCTAGTGATTGCATTTCATTTTGAAACAATTTGAAATCGGGTTTTTCTAGAGAACGTTCCCTTTGCTTTCATTTCAATTCATCAATATTTTTTTGTAAAAGGAATTCACCTACATCACGGAATCACGTGCCATTCAAATGAATCGAGAAACGAGTATTTGCGTTCCATATTCAGGGACTGTGAAATAAATACAATTCAATGTACGATTATTAGAAAACATTTCATCTCTTTTGGTTTTCTTTATTCGACTATTTTGTTCATAATGAACGGTCAAGCCCAGAACCGCTTTCGGTTTGAAAACAACCATTACAATTTAGATCTCTTTGAATCAATAGCGAAATATTTAAACAGTTCAATTGCAATTCCGTTGGGAATTCTTGATATAGTGGTAGTTGCAAAATTCAAAATGAGGACACAATATTCTTGTGGAATATATTTTGCTGGACGAAATGAGCTATATCGAAATGTTGTTGTAAGCTTTTTCCATGGTAACACTTTCAATTGAAATCTTGATTTTTATTGAAATAATTTTGTATCTTTCCAAGAAGATATTCCACTTATTTTGTGTTCTGAAAAGGTCTTGAGCTGCGTTTGCAAAATTTTCATCAAAACAATTTGACGAACATATTCAGTGGAATTTAAGTGCGTAGTTTCAATTCGAAAAACGATCAATAAAATACATACGTATCCATCGTATTCCCCCTACGCAAAAGCACTTCCAGAAGTAGCCATTTAGATCCGATACATGAAATATCGGGAAATAAAATGTTGTTCGGATATTAACCTTCAGTCCGTGCTCTCGTTTTACAACACATTCCCGTGCTCTCGGGCACACAGTGCCCGTAGTACATTTTGCATAAAAACTGGGTGGTCATAATAGATAACGGCTTGGTGTCTTTAGCAAAGTTGTAGTACTCTGACCGCTCTATATCTTTTACGAAGAAACTATCACGTTATCACTTATCAGTTCCACGGAAAACGCGAAAAACCGCGAAAACGCGAATAATCGCCATCTCATTTTTAACGGATTTGGTAAATGATAAAAAATATCTGCCTTCAGCAAAGCTGTAGAGCAGGTTGAATACTACAATTTTTCTCGAGACACCAAGCCGTTATCTCTTATCAGTTACGCGAAAAATGATAAGAAAAAAATCGCTTTTCCCGCGGTTTTTCGCGAACTGATAAGAGATAACGACTTGATGTCTTCGGCAATGTTGTTGCAATTGACCTACCCTACAACTTTGCTGAAGACACCATTTCGGTATATCTTATCAGTTCCATAAAAAATAATAAACCATGTATTTGCGTGTTTGGCGTTTTTCGCGGATTCCGCGTAATTGATAAGAGATAAGTGATATCTGTCTCCAGCAAAAATTTAGGGAACCTCAAATACAACAGCTTCGCTGAATCTCTAATCTTAGTGGAGTTTTGGACCAAACTTCACTACGGGCACTGTATACCCCAGAGCACGTACGGTGCACATGTGTTTACAAACACACATATCTCAAATATGCTTACACATATTAACATGAAATTTTACTGGTGTGTAGCAAAAGGTTCAAGCTATCGAATGGTAATACATTTATGGTGGCTATTTTTTATTTTAGTACTTGTATTTACATTTAAAGTTTGCCTCGGGCACTGTATGCCCAGAGCACGGACTGAAGGTTAAAAAAATTCACAGCAAACACCATTAAATTTCTTTACATAGAAAAATCGTCGGCTAATAATATAAATCTCAAATTATATCACATCACATCACATCACATCACATCACATCACATCACATCACATCACATCACATCATAGTTGTCGATATTCGTATGCATTCGTGCATCTCTAGTATTATTTTCGTTTTTGTACAAAGTATACCCACTGTGCTGTAAAAGTCTCGTATGAATATTCGAACGTACTCATAGAAATTCTTGAGAATTCGCTTGCTATGCTTGCCACATTTGGTCTCTAGATCAACAATATGCTCCAATTTAATTGTACGAAATTGTGAAACTTCTTGGTGCGTTCAAAATTCAACGCAAAGAACGTGTGAAGGCTTTATACTATTTGTGCTTTTTGCAATAATATGGAGCCGCCATGATTATTTACCAATCAATAGTACTGAAGTACAGTGTATTTGAGTCCGAACCTTCTCCACTACTGCTTGAAAGCATAATGGTGTAAAAATCTGCAAGAATTTACGCCTCGTTCTTTCCTTGCCGGAACAATCATCATAATCCTCAAAAGCAATTCCGCAAAAAATCATTTATTGCTGACGCCATTTATTGAATTGGTAATTATAATGGTTCTAAGCTATTCAAACCAAATTTATTGTGTGGAATTAAGTTTAATTTTAATTATTTCGCATCAAAACATCAGCAACGAATGTTTCCTATGTGGAAATGTTTCTAACGACTGTGATGAAAATAGTTGCTAGTTTTTCATTCAATTCAGTTAAGTTTTTCGGCGAAACAGTTTGCGTAGAATTTTGAAAGTAATAATAATTCGTTACTAGTTCATATTTTAATAAAAGCATTTCCATATATGTGTATCACACGATCTTTGAATACGAACACAACCTAGAAGTGAGTGTGCAACTGTGCGTAGTGTTCTTCATTATCTATCCAATTTGGTTGTGGCTCATGTGGAATTCCCAGTCAAACCAAACTTTTGACTATTTGCATTTTCATCAAACCTCTTCAAATTAAAAGCTAATTCTACTTGAAACGAAAAAAAGATGGAACGGGTTTAAAGAACGGGTTTCACGATAAGACTTGTCAATCTTTAATGTGTGTGTTGTTTACGACGTTCGAGTGACAGTCAAGCAGCCATGGTGAAAATGAAACAAGTTCTTTCAATTAATTCATAACAATAACAACTCCGTTCTTCTTCAAATTTTCCGGAATTAATTTTCAGCCAACTTTATTTAATTTATGCCATGTACCACGTGTACCTTCATACCATGTCTATTAATGATATTTATGGAATATGCTATTCTAGTCGCTTAACGATGTTGACATTTCAACAATAGCATACCGCTAGCTGCAGTTGTCTATTAAATGAATTTAAAAACATTTTTCAAATATAAACAATAAACATGTCTCCATGGAAAACGTGCTAATTTTAAATTTGATCCATATATTTCATGATGGCATTGAAGCGAGTGCTTATGCACGCGTATATTACGTAGTAATTGAGAGAAAGAATTTATAAATATATTTACAATATTTTAAGAAAATTGATAAGAACTGATAACCAAGTGCCGCTTGAGATCGAATCGAATATATTTTCGATATTCCGTGTTGTTTTTCCACCCAACGTTGAACTTCTTGAGAATGTAATCGGCTTGGAAACGCTTATCATGTTGTTGATAAAGTGATAACAAACACCTTTACTCCACAACAGTTGAACTGTAGCCTCAGCCATTGTCCGCATAATTTGGCTAATAACAGAGCTGAGTTGCAAATGAGTGTGAATACTTGTTGATTCTGAAAAGTTTTCGTTGAAACTTTTACAAAGTTGCCATAAAGGTAAAGTGACGTTAAATAGTGGATCAACTTATTTTTCAATGTGTTAAAGGTTTATTTATGCTGTGACTGCCCAGTGCCCAGTGCCCATCTGTTCAATTGACAATAATAAAATGTAGTAAAAAAAGACTTCTTTGTTAGAAGAACACCAGTTGAATGCTAAGATAGTACGGTAGCGCCTAGTCGTTGTCTGTGAAGACTCAAGTATTCGCTGTAAAAAGAGCACAAACTCTTGTAGTGCTATATAAATTTTTTGATACGGTTATCTCTATTTTTTGTGCATGTTATTTTACTTCAACGAAAGGAGAAAAAAACATCGAAAAAATGACTTCTTTCACATCAAACTCCATTTAAAATGAACAATATTGAAAGATAGCCTTGTGTTCCATTTCAGAATCTGCGTGCAATTTACTTGGAAGTAAAAGCAACTAAGCAACTTCAAAGGCTGTTCAATTTGGAATTTGCCCCCACCAGCTGAAGCAATCAATTTAGTGGTTTTGGATTACAACGAAATGGATGTGCCTTTGTGCCTACTGTGAAATTCTAATAAACAAATACACAAACATTGATAGTAGGACAGTATGAATGCAGCGCCATTTCAAGAATGATGTCATTATCAGAGATATGCGAACGGCCAAAATCACCGAAATTTCACGCATTGGCATTCGTTGTGTTTTACATTACAATTATTGAGTGTCGGGTAAATATCAAATGTGTCTCGTCTTTGTTTTCTCCATAGTTATTGAATTTATTCATTAAACGTTTCATTTACGTACACAGTTACAGGATGTGCCTCCTCGTGGCTCTTTGTTCGGTAAAACATTGAATAGCTTATAAATTTCTAATGAGTATTTAACGATAATTTCCTACATTATATTTTGTAGACCTCACTGTAGACACGATTGTTTTCGACAAAGATGCACTTCAAGCAAATATTAGCTGGAAATCGAGTGATTTACGAGGTAAGCACAGACATGATTAAAAAGACGTGAATTGAATAACATTTCCCCTCTCACTCCTCTCTCTCTCTTTTCATTTAGGACGAAAGCTTGATGTGCGCCTAAATCCAGTTACGGATGAACATTGGTGTACAAACAAAAAGCCATGTGTATTATATGGATTAGCAACCGTATGTGTTGAACAATAGATTGGACAATGGATTCGATTCCATTTTCTGTCATTGATCTCATCATTACTATTTTCTTTTGTTACATGCTAATTATCAATGATATGATTCTTTTGATAGAACATAACCGACATATTGTTGCCACGCGATCCATTGTTTGAGCTCGAACATCATGAATGTTCCATTCAGCCGGGTTGCGTGTATGATGTTTTGGTCGAAACCACGGATCGAATGTTACGACAAACGACCAAATACATAGTTCCAGGTAAATATAATATACGGGGTGTACCAGTATTTACACGGAGTTTGCTGCCTATATATGAACCGTTGCAACAAACAAATTCCCTCAGAATATTTTTTGCTTCAAAGTGCAACATGAAATTTTTTTTATATTGAGTTTTCAACAACAACTCCATATGAAAAAAAACTTTATGTTGCACTTTAAAACTAAAATATTCTGAGGGAATTTGTTTGTCGCAATGGTTCATATATGAAACTAATATTTCAATTAATTCCACTTGTCATTTGATACAACATGACCGAATGGGTTCGTTTTTTGTTCCTCTCTCTCTCTCGTTGACATTCAGATTGCGTTGCTGATGTTTGTTCCTGCAAACATACACATTTGCTTCCGGACACATTTCTCAATGCAACAATTGATTCAAAAATGTTGAAAATTTTTTGGCGAGTGAATGAGAGCTCGGAAAATGTGTCGTTGAGTAGCATTTTCATCAGGTAAATATTTGACAACACAAAAACATGTCCGCGAATGTAAATATGAATATTAAGTCCATATTCAAATTAAAAAGCCAATCCAGTCTCTGTTTTAACCAATTACTTTAATGAATTGTGCCGACGTTTCGAATCGTGTTTGGATTCTTCTTCAGGGCTGTTCATGCGTAATCAATTCTGTCACAAATTATAATTCGCTTGTTTAAAGAAAAAATCTACGATTTAATAATCCCATTTAGTTTTTTTCGTTGTGAAACAATCTCAAATGGCCATTGTTAATGAATTATAATTTGTGACAGAATTGATTACGCATGAACAGCCCTGAAGAAGAATCCAATCACGATTCGAAACGTCGGTACAATTCATCAAAGTAATTGATTAAAGCAGAGACTGGATTGGCTTTTTAATTTGAATTTTAATCGACAGTTGGTAGTCAAAAATAAATATTAAGTCCATATTGTACTACTTTTTATGTTCACTCCAAATGATTTTCAGCCGATATTTTAAAGCTGGCTTTAGTTTTGAATGTAGCGAATTTCCAAAAAAAACATCCGCTATGCCCTAATTACCTTATAATTAAGCGCACATTATGATTACTAAACAGATTTCATTTTTTGCGTAAAAACTGTAGCTTATTTAAAAAAACTAAAGTCGGCTTTAGCATTAAAACCGAAGAAGCATTCAAAATGAACATTGAATATACAAAATGAACGCAGTATTTTCACTTGGAACGGACATTAATGTTTTTTTCAATCAAAACTTACACCGAAATTTTCGTTGTCGTGTCGCAGTGTTGGAATGCAAAATAATCCGTCTCTCCGATGGGGTGGCCAAACAGTACACCTTGATGAGATTCAATTACCGTTACAAAACACGAGCGACTACACTGAAAGCGAAGAAGGATATCATTTGGTCAATATGACCGATGTAATGGCAAATGCAACTGAATTTCGGCTTTTTGTGCGTGCCCATGTTATTGATAATAAAGGATGCCCTGGACGAGAAAGCAATTTCACGTATAAAGGTAAGTGCTCTATTTGGGATTGTTTCCACTGGTTTGAGGCTATTTAATATGTACAAAATAATCCATTTTCGAAGAAAAAGTTGTCTACTCGCAAGGGATTTATGAACAGACACAAAAAGGTGTCAACGAAAACCACATTTAGCTAAACAGGTTTATTTAGGCAAAAACTTTTCATATGAAATGAGAAGCTGAGTCTTTTGTTCAGAAGAAACTTTAGAGCTATTCATCCAGCTGCATAAGCCCATTCAAATTACATATTTTGAATTTCTCTTTAAGCTTTTAATTATTCCTAATGGTCGAATACTGAATGCGTTGATGCAGTTGGTGTGGAAGTTTGAAACCAATATTTTCACAAAGAAATGCGCAGTACCTCAGGCTAGGGTAGTCCTACTGATGAATTTGTGATATATTTTATGACCATGCTGCTCACAAATATTGTTTGATGATCATTTGTGAATGTTCGTCGAAAATTGTTCGATACACTCTCACATTTCACGCTTGTAAAACTAGAGATCCCAATGCGCTAAATGCAATTTCAAATTAATTAAAGAGACAGAACAGCGTGAGGACGTAAAGAGTATCGCATTCATTATCGCTTGTTCTCTGCCTGGAAATCTCTTTGAAATTAAAAGCTCTCTTCATTTTAAATGAAAATTAAAACGAAATTACTGTTCAATTAATAGGGCAACCTGCCATTTGATGTGCGCAATTTGGTCTTGACTCAGGAATCTTTTATATATATACTACGTGACATTTTATATAAATGCATCAATCATTTGACTTCATAAATTTGTTAATGAACATTGAAAATCCATATCATCTGTGAATTTCTAATCTAATTCCAGTTCTATCACACAAAACCACTGTAGTGTATGCCAATAATAATTTTGTGGTAAGTATTGAAATCGAACCAATACAGTTCATTTGTTGTGATTGCACTGACTATTCCCCTTCACGGTGGTGTTCACCGGATTTATTGCTATTTATTTGAATTTCATTTTTCACAGAAAATATTCCTAATTTGCTTTTCCATTGTGGTTGTGCTGTTGATTATCGGATTTGCGTTCACATATCGGCACATGCAACATTTGTTGCTAACCAAATCGTTTGTGAAAAATTGGCGTGGGATCTACCAAAATGTGCCGAGTGTTGGGTGAGTTGAATATACACACAATTTTGATGCTGTGGTTTTTAATTGGATGTGCTTTTTGTAATGATTGTGCTACGATTTTGTGTGTCGTTCTTTACAATGAACGACGAAAAATTACATCTGTTACGAATGGTATTCCAACATGTGATTGATCGAGAAAGGATTGTTTTGCTTCAGGCGAATGCTATTTTATCGACTATCAATACTTAACAATTGGAAAAATGGAGCGTGTTTCACGGAAAATCATCAACGATGTCAGACAAAATAAACACAAGCAAACAGGCAATGGAAAAACAAACAAGCAATGTTTTTTTAGGGTGGATTGGTTATATGTCCAATTTTCCATCCTCTTGGTAACACTGTTTGAACGCGTATATTAATAGAAAATTGAATTTGCGTTGGTGAACTCTCTCTAGTTGTCAAGTGCAGTAAATTTGATATTTGATATGTTGGAAACGAAACTGGCACTGATGTTGAATACATTTCCAGCAAATATCAAACTGGCAGAGCTAACATAGGCACCTACGGGGTGCCGGCACTTACTTTAGTGCACACCTAGTACTATTCCAAAATACTTTTTTTCCCAATTTCTTTTGGAGGTTTTGAAATGTGATTTTTTTTATCATCTAAATATCATAGCGCACCCAAGGTAGTAAGTGCCGGCACCCCGTAGGTGCCTATGTCAGCTCTGCAAACTGGTCTCCAGTCACAAAAATACCGAGGATGTGTAGAAAGCACAAATGAAACAAAAGCTGCAAATGAGAGTGGCTAGTTTTTTCTCTAGCTTACCCACTATAGAATTCCGTAGATTTCTACGGAAAAATTGACATTCGAGTCAATAGTTTTGTGAAGTTGAATTTCAACAAAATATTTTCATTGATTCGCTGGGTCACATTTTAACTAATCGTGTGACCGTGATTTTTGAACGCATCTAGGCACCAACCTCAATTTCATACGATTCCCCGATGTGGTTTTGAATTCGTTTTGCGTTCAAGAATAACAATTGGTTTTTAAAATTCGCAATCAGGTGAAACACTTTAACGCAAAAAAATTGCGTTCAACCAAAAATATGCCACCATAAATTTGCATTTGACTGAAAAAAATCCTGTACGTGTTCAAGAATCGCAGTCATACGCTCTCTCATTTTGTCATCGCTAAAAAGAAAAAGAAAAACATCGGATATATTGGTGAACACAACAATAACATTGACTCTGTACGAATTTACATACACATTTTTATACATGATTCCATTTGAAAAGTATACAATAGTCTGTGTAAATAGGAAAAATTGTCGCATAGAATAACATTTCCGGGAATTGTAAAGATATAAAGCTACCGTTTTATTTCGATAAATTTTTGGACCCAGTAGGCACACACTCCCTTAATAATAGTAATGTGTTTGAACAAATCTCGTTGCCACAGATTCAGGACAATGAAATTTGAAGAGAATTTCTTGTACGGTGAAGAGTTTGAACACTGTGAAATACCGCATTCCTCGTTAAAATTGAGTCATAACATTGGAAAAGGTGCATTTGGTAGCGTTTACCTGGCTGTAGCAAATAGCATTGGAACAAAGGAGTGTTCCGGTTTGGTGGCAGTAAAGAAGCTTAAAAGTACGTATACATCATTGATTTAAATATGCAAGTTATGTAAATACAAATATTATATTTTTTAAATGTTTCGCAACTATGTCAATTCCGTAAAATCTTCAGCCACAAAGACAATTTAATTACGGAAGATAAGCCATTTTTGATATAATACATAACTTCGTGGAATTTCTCTATTGCGTGTTGTTGATGTTTCATAAATAATTCTCGTTATTTTCTATGCAGAAGACCACAATGTCGAAGAGATGGATGAATTTATGTGCGAAATTGCCATAATGAAAAGCATATCTCGGCATCCCAATGTGGTTGCGCTCATTGGATATTGTACCGTGAAACAACCTTACTACATGGTGATGGAATTTGTTGGATGTGGCGATCTAGTAAGTAATATGCTGTGTTTTGACATATTGTGGCGAATTTTAAGCTGAAATTCTGTAATAATTCGGTTTTATCCACAGCTTAATTATTTACGCAAGCTTCGTGAACAGCACGAAGTTCGAGCAGCAGCTGCACTTCGAATGGCCAATCAACAGAGACCAAAAACGAGTCATGTTGCCGACAGTAGTACGAGCAGTACTTTGAATTTGCTGTCACAGGCGAGCAATGCAAATAAAAGTGTCAAAAGCTATTCTAATCTATCAAAAAGCGGTTACAGTGATAATACCTCGGCCACAAGTTTAAATAATCCAATAACCGTAACGACACTCAATAAACTGGAAATGGAAGTAAATTACTTGGAAATATGCCATTCATCGTAAGTGGTCCAATTGGTGGCAACTCATGTCCAAATAATTCGTATAATTTGATTTATTTGCAATATAAAATGGTATGTTTTTGCAGGAGTAGCAATTCGGACGCATCGTATGATACAAAAGCGGAAAGTGTCGCATCGACCAAACGAATTTCGGATGCCGACAGTAAGTTATCTTTACTTTGACCGTCCAGTTTGCTCTCTCTCTCCCCCCCTTTTTCCTGTGTACAGTGTACACACATAAAATATCAAAGCTTCTTATTGGCAAACATTTAATTGAAATGTTGATCATTTTTCACATGGCACCAGATTATACATCATTCCCAAATCCGCAAGCAACATCACTTGAGTGTGTGTTGGACCACAAAGAATTGCACAGTTTTGCTGTGCAAATTGCTCGTGGCATGAAACATTTGGAAGACAGAGGGATTATACACCGTGACTTGGCTGCACGCAATGTTCTCATCGACGAAAACAAACAACTGAAAATCTCTGATTTTGGTATGTCTCGCTGCACTATCTATGTGACACGACGCACAAAAAAGGTAACGTAAACGAACCAAAAACCAGACTGCACCGTCATTTCATATTTCAATTTGTTAACACGATGCAATCGAGTGAAAACAGCATGAATTAAATACGCAAAAAACAAATATTGAACGTCATTTACCAAACAAACGCACACAGGTACCGATAAGATGGATGGCAATTGAGGCACTACGAGAGAATATATACACAAGCAAAAGCGATGTTTGGAGCTTTGGAGTGGTGCTGTGGGAAATTGGCACTTTAGGTATGTGAATTTCTGATTAGGTCGATTCTCGAAAAGCAAAACCAACTTTATGGTTTCGAATTCGCAATTATACTAGATTAGTTGCGCTCTTCAATTTAAACCTCTTCTCTCTGGAATTTCGATTCCTCTCACATTGATGTAATGTTTTGTGTAATTATCTCGTTTCATTTAGGTGCAATCCCATACGCACACGTGTGCAATGAATTACTGTTAAAACACTTGGCCGATGGACATCGTATGCAACGACCTGAAGTATGCAGTGAGCAATTGTATAAATTAATGCGGCAATGTTGGTCGGAATGTCCACATGATCGTCCGTTTTTCTCGGAAATTGTTCGGAAATTGGAAACCACGGAAGGAGATGAGCATATTTATGTCAATTTTGATGACATCGCACCGAACTACGTGTTCCCACCAACTTCTGTGGCTAAAACGGTTAAAGAGCATGTGGAAGAGCCCACATCTTTAGCTTAAAAAAAAACATGAGAATTTTGTCAATATTAGACAAGCGATTCTACGTAGATAAGCAGAATATGCATACTGTGATATTTATCTGAAGCGATGAAGCAAGCTGTGAACGATCAATTGCAGTTGTGGTATGATTTTGGAAGAAAGGAGAATTTTAAGCAAAGGCGATTAAAGCAATGTGCAACCTATTTTTGAACTTTGCGATTTAGAGAATATTTCATATTTGATTAGAAGCGTGTCGTTAGAGCATTCTATGAGATCAGCATATATTTGGGATTGAAAAATTCACCACATTAATTCGAAAGGCGGTTTATAGAAAAAATGAGAGAGCACTTTAAATTCAAGCTCCACTCGTACAACGAGATAGCACTTTAGATTGAATCTGGGCGTCTCCACCTGCACTTAAATCCCCGAAATACTCTTTCAATTAATGTTGTACCGATGTTAGATATAAGTACACTACATTTCAAATATGAAACAAACAAGTGTGGACAATGGGCACAATTAAAATCGAATCTACAAGATAAGCATAACCCGATAAGAAATTGTTTGTGCAAGAAGATAATGGCATATAAATATTAACATAATTGTTTGGAAAATCAAATAACGACTGTAATGTCACTTTTCAAATATTGAATGTTACTTGATGCAATTTTCTTCATAATTCAATTTTATAATAAATGGATAGAAATGCACTTGATTCGTATAAATTAAGAATGTGATTTGATTTATTCAAATCGAATGGTTTCAAATTATTAATGCATTTTGATTACGGGTTATTTTTCTATTGCATTTGCATTTTTGCCATTTAATTTTCACTGAAAGTATTAATGTATTTTTCTACTCATCTGTCCATCAAATGTTCAAATTTTGAAACTGTGAATTCGCAAATGATTTTGTGGATCATTAAATTTCTGAATGTCAATAAAAAAAATAAATCAATTCAAAGTCTAACTGTTGTGTACTTCATTAATAATTGAGCGTTGAGTATGTGGTTGATTTTCGCGCGAATTCCACGTTCGTATCGGGCAATACATGGCTGCATGTACTTAAGCAAGCTATAAACATTATAACGAAACAAAAACATAACACACCAGCGGCGGCATAGTAACAAACAGTTAACGTGTATGTTTGTATGGGTATGCATGTGTTTGGTTGTGTCTCTATACGATTACTCTTTCGAAGTGAAGCGGTTCATTGTCATCATCATCAGTCGTTTGTTGTTCGCTGGCTAAATCGTATGGTCGTTTGGCATCGTGTGAGTTTTTTCAAAGAAAGAATCGGAAATTCTTTCGATTTGCAAATACAATGGAATAAATAATTCAAAAATCGAAAAAAACAAAACAAATTACAATTAGTGACACACATTGCCATTTAGATAATTCAACTGCCAAAACAAATTGTTGAATAAAAAAAAGTTGCGTTTTTTTTTATTGTTTAAATACAAAAATGTTAAGATATTCGTTGAAATTGCTGAGCATTCGAAATTATTCAAATACTGAATTTATTCATCCGAGTCACCTTGAAACGGTGAATGTATAAAAGGAAAGAAAAAGAACGAATTTCGATGTTGGAATTAAGTTCAGGCCAATTGTCCAAGTGAAAAAAAAATGAGTGTACCATAAATCATACGATTGTAAAGAGAAAAGAACTAGTACAAGCAACGATCTACATATATTCCAATAAGAAGTTTAAGTTCAAGTTGAGCTCTCTGGCATTTGACTCGCTGTGCTAAACGTGTTGTGTGCTACATTCAGTAAATCCGTATGTGCCTTTGTATTAAAAAAAATAAGTCTCTCTTTGCTTGATGATCTACGTGAAATGCTCGATGTACCAACTTTAGTGCCGAAGAAAAAAATAACGAAAAAAAATAAGACGAATCGGGCACACATAAGTAACCAACGAAACGATTCGTCAGGCCGTTCGTGTACATAGTCATTACCTTTTATTCATATTTACATTTGAAAAAAAAAACAGAGAGAGACACGACGATTTCAATAGCATATTATTTGATCGGTTGCTTTATTTGCATATATCGATTCGATTTCATTTCGATTCTTTGACTCGATCTGTATGTGTGGTGTCAGTGACACTTTGGTGCTTTCGAAATTCATCACTTATACCTTAAAAATATACACACACCGAAAATAGAAATCAATGCAAAGCAGAACTATTGCGTTACAAAGTTAATCTGAAAACCTCGCATCAAAGAGATTTTATAACAGCGAAGACTTAAAAGTAGCAGTTTTTCTTCGGAACAAAAAAAAAAGCAAATTGGAAAAAAAAACACGAAGCAACAACCAAAATGGCACAACAAACAGAAGTTGGCGTTCAAGATTTCGTTTTGTTGGACGAAGTCACGTTGGAGAAATTCATGGAAAATCTGCATAAGCGGTAAGTTTATGAGTCGACATAATCGTTTTTGAGAGTTTGAATGATGATGCGGTTGAATTTTTCTTCGTCTATAAATACGCACACCGATGCATCTCAGTCACGAATCAAAAACTAAGGAAGAAGAAAAAAAAAACATCAAAAAAAATGTGAACGAACTTCATCATTTTGTGGCTCTGGTGGGTGTGACAAAAGTGTTGTTTATTTTTATACAGCGGAAAGAAAACATGAACAAATACCAGCAAGTCAAGTGTACACTTGAACAAAGTTTCTGCGTTTAAGAATAATTTTCTTGACATTCATACATAAACCATATAAACGCTAGCATATTTCTTTACAACAAAACCACAACCTCAAGCAGCAATAAAAATTGATGTGTGCACAAGTATTAACTTACTATAGTTTCTTTTTGACGGCGTCAGTTTATTAAAATATCGCACATTTGCTCAACAAGTGAATAAGCAATGAGTGGTTGGATTTTAGATGTATCATTCAAATGAAATGGATTCGGATCGGCTAGTCTCTCTCTCTCCCTCTCTTTTCGTAAATCTTCTTCGTCTCTTCTTTGATTTCTTCAAATTGTTTTTTTTAAAGCAAAACCTAAACATCATTTAATTAATCGTAATTTTTTCGCCTGAGGTGTCATGCCACATCATTCGGAAGTGTGATGAACAATCAAGTGTGTAATTGATGATATCACTTTATTATTACCGCCACAGCCGCATTCATACAATTTAAACTCTAGTAAACACGAACACACCGGCGAACGCGTCCAATCGAAACGAACTGGTTGTATTCAGTGAAACTGAAAAACAAATCTACTTACGTTTCGCAGAAACGCACGCAACCAACCAACCAAACTCGAACACATAACATTCTTCATATTCCCACCGACCATAAATATCATTTTTAAATGGTTCACTTGGTTAATAAGTTTGTGTCCATTCAGATTGCGAATGAACAAGCCGCCAATCGTTTTTACACGTACACACAGCATCGTGCATAAATCGAATCGTATACACGGGGGAAATAAGTTTGTATATGCTAAAGAAAAGACCTTAAATAGAATTGTATTTATAACACCAGTCTAAATGCACACTTAACGCACATTAATAGCAATTCGATTTATATTAATCAAGAGAATCGCAAATTTCAGCACACAAATCAATATTAAAACAAATACAGATTTAACCTTCACCTCATTGAAGCAAATACAAAAACAAAATCATTCATAATAACTCGCAGATTTTACCTTTAATTCCAACACGATTCATGCTTATTAAGCATTGCTTAAATTGAATTGAGAGTAGAAAAAATGGTGATCCGATAAGAGGGAGAGAGAGAGATAGAGAGAAAAAAACCGAAACAGAACATAATCAAATTATTATTAGTTCCAGCTGTTTGGAAATGTGCATGGTTGCTTAATTCGGCACACATTTAAACTAAACGTAGCATCCATAATCGGCCGACTCACACTTGCTCAAACACACCGACTCGGATCTAGCTCCAAAAAACGAAAATATTATGAATATTCGTAGAACAGAAAGAGATGACCATATAGATGATGCACAATGTTGAATGGGCACAAAAGAAACTGTGAAAAATGTATTTAAATGTTATTGTAACATTTGCCAAGTGATTAACACAATAGAAGTTTAGCACATTAAAGTGAGAACACAGAGATAAAATTCAACAATACACAGCTCTCGTGTCGTTTGTTAACGATGTAAATTCTCTTGTTTTTAGAAAGTGTAACAGCAATGCGGTTGAAAATGGTCGTATTTTATTTGCCGGAAGAATAGTTGAGCACATTTTTGTAGCGCAAAATGACCCATGAGGGAATAAAAAACAAAACAACGGACACATGAATATTTATACAATCGTTCTCATGTTAATTAGAAAATTCCGTTGATAACAACGGAAAAGACTATCGTAATTTTGACCGACATTCTTATTGCGCATTTCGTTTTCCGTCATTTTCGAAAATGAATGGTGGATTTTTCCAAAAGTGCAAATATTTCTTTTTATCTTTCCTATGATATTTTCCATCGACGTAGTTCAGAGCGATAAAAATCGTTATATATAGTGAATAAATCCTTCGCATGAGTCAAATATCGTCCGTAGTATGATCTCAGACCACATATGATCTCATAGAGTCGTAAGAGTGTGTCTTTATCGTTGCATGTATTGGCACTGTATTCAGTATATAAACATTGGATGTATCATGCGTCTGAAACCAGTTCTCCACATGTTATAATCACTCCCGAAATATATACTATAACATACTTATCTGTTTGTTGTTTGGCTAGTTTTTGCTTCGCACTGCGTTCGATATATGTTCATGTTTTATTTCCAAACTTTTCCAGCAGCTTGTTTGCTGCTGGGGCATGTTGTCCCACATTTTTCGTTATTGTGAACAGCGCGTGCGATACAATTCGAATGGATGTGTGGTGATGAGTCATGCCAAAATATATATAAATTGGCTTTACGTGTCAAAATCATATCGATTTACGCTGAAAATGCCCATATACTTTCAAAATACAATATGTGTCCCTCACTGGTAATCGATATCTAATCGCCATTCAAAGTGATTATCAGTTTAATTGCACCGTTTTGGCTCATTTTATGATGCGATCGACCAATTGAACCTTTCGGAAACTTCCCAATCATTTATTGTGCCCAGATAATTTTCGGGAATCGTCCAATTTCACTTTAACCGATTTCAATCTAACAATTTCATTCTCACGAAAATGAAGAAAACATTCACATTGAAACTTTCACCAGACTGAATACGCAACCAGACTTTGTTTCAGTAGAAAAAAATATAAAACAATCGTCAATACTTTTCATTTCAAGTCACGTCCCATTCGATACATGTTTCAGCGAATTTGATTTTGGATATGAAAAAATATCATTTTTGCTACAAATGAAAAAAAAAACAACAACAACAAATGGTTCTATTCCATTTTCACTGATGTACATCATTTTAATTCCAACCATTTGCTTCGTTCGCGATTCAATACTCTGGACTGTTGCATGTTTCGCGGTTAAGTGATTACATCATCGAAAGTACTCAATATTCGCGTCGTGTACATTTCATTTCAAGACTGCCTTCAATGTCTTTGCAATGTATATGGTTTTGGATATGTGTGCGTGATTGTTGAGGTTTTTCATGGAGCCGCCGCAATCAATTTTAAAGATAGCGTTAATAGATTTATCAACCAATACCGATTTATTTTTTCAATAGACACCCCACACAAGCCAATATTTGCTAAATGATAATTTTTATTTCTCATTGAAATCCGGTGACTAAGTGTGGTGCATCAGCACCATCGAATTGAATCGTTGAATATAATGTGATGTCATTTTAATATATATAAATTTACGTTTATATTCCTCTTGGCAATTTCCAATAGGTTTCAAGCGGGCAAAATATATACGTACATCGGAGAAGTATGCGTTTCCGTGAATCCATACCGTCAAATGAATATTTATGGACCTGACAATGTCAATAAATACAAGGGTAATGTTACAACCAAATGAAATTTAATCACACATGAATCACGCATGCAGGCTACAGTCTTTAATTTCCATTTTTAATGTCTTTTAAACGCAGGTCGTGAACTCTTTGAGAATTCACCGCATATTTTTGCCGTTGCTGATTCAGCATACCGAACGCTAAAGCAACGCAATCGCGATACATGCATTATGATATCCGGTGAAAGTGGCGCCGGCAAGACTGAAGCCTCAAAAATAATTATGAAATATATAGCGGCCGTTACGAATACCGTTGGCCACAATGAGATTGAACGTGTTAAAAATGTTCTCATTCAAAGCAATGCCATACTGGAAACATTCGGAAATGCCAAGACAAACCGGAACGATAATTCAAGTCGATTCGGTAAATACATGGACATTGAATTTGATTTCAAAGCAGATCCAGTTGGTGGTGTGATTACAAACTATTTGCTGGAAAAATCGAGAGTCATTCAACAACAGCCGGGAGAGAGGAATTTTCATAGTTTCTATCAGGTAAGACTGAATGATGGAGTCGAGCTCAAATCTAGATCTAGATTCCAATCTTACTCGGCATTTTCGAGTCGACAATTTATGAATTTAATTACGAAGGAGTTTTCTTCTCATACAAAAAATGCAAACAAGCTAATAATTTGAGCTTAAAATTGAGTTTAAATAACATCAACATCTATTTCATCAAAATAGCTGCTCCGTGGATGTTCGGATAATGATTTGAGAAAATACGGTTTGGTTCGCGATTATTCAAAATACAACTACACACTACAGGGCAGTGATGAGATTTTGTCCGAGACTCAGGACTATAAAGCGACCATGAGTGCCTTCCGTACGCTGGGCTTTTCTCCCGACGAAATTTGCTCGATTTGGCAAATTGTTGCAGCAATATTGCACTTGGGCAATATTGCATTTGAAAGTAAGTGAAACGTGGATTATTTTTGTTGGAAATGTTTTTTTTTGTGCACATTTTCCAAATTCTTTCTCAATAAACCAAAATAACATTCAATATCATATGTTCAACATAAAATTGAAATTGTTTCCGAATTGTCCCTCTTCAGCTGACGAAGAGAACATTGTGATTAAGAAAAAGGATGCCTTACGACAAGTGGCTCAATTGCTAAAAGTCACCGAGGACGAGCTGATGAAATCATTGACGCAACGTGTTATAGCTGCCCGTGGAGATGTTATGATGAAATCTCATAATACAATACAGGCGGAATACGGTCGAGATGCACTGGCAAAGGCAATCTACGATCGTCTATTCACATGGATCATTCAGCGCATAAATAAAACGATTCTAGTACCTGGAACCACGGTTCATAAGCGATTCAACAAAGTGATTGGCGTACTTGATATTTACGGTTTCGAGGTATTCGATTCTAATGGCTTTGAACAATTCTGCATTAATTATTGCAACGAAAAACTGCAACAACTTTTCATTGGTATGTCGGATTTGTAATTCAGAATAAACATGAACAAGTTAATAATCGCCGTTCTATTGCAGAGCTTGTACTTAAGCAAGAGCAAGAGGAGTATCAACGAGAAGGGATTGCTTGGACAAATATTGACTACTTTAACAATCAGGTAAGTTGAAGGAAAATTGAATAAAAATCAAGTAAGAAAAATGCTAAACGGTGTCAATTTTTTGCAGATAATTTGTGAATTGGTTGAGCAACAGCACAAGGGGATAATATCAATAATGGACGAAGCATGTTTGACGGTGGGCAATGTGACAGATGAAACGTTGCTCGAGGCAATGGACAAAAAATTGGCTAAACATCCACACTACTCCAGTCGACAACTGAAACCAATGGACAAAGAGCTCAAGCACAAAACGGATTTCCGAATCACTCACTACGCAGGCGATGTTAAATACGATATCACCGGATTCATTGAGAAAAACAAAGACACATTGTATCAAGATTTCAAGCGATTGTTATACCATTCAAAAGATACGAATCTGTCATCGATGTGGCCAGAAGGCGCTCAAGATATAACAAAAACGACAAAACGTCCATTGACCGCTGGTACATTATTTCAGAAATCCATGGTTGACTTGGTGGACACACTTCAAAACCAAGAACCATTCTATGTGCGCTGTATCAAACCAAATGACAATAAAGTGGCGACACTTTTCGATACGGTACGTGTTGAGCATCAAGTGCGTTATTTGGGACTCATTGAGAATGTACGTGTGCGACGTGCTGGATTTGTACATCGTCAACGGTATGATAAATTCTTGCTCCGTTATAAGATGATCAGCGAGTACACGTGGCCCAATTTCCGCGGCACTCCAAAGGAAGGGGTTGAGGTTTTGATGGATGTGCACAATTTCAAAGACGATGTAAAATTCGGACGCACGAAACTTTTCATTCGATCGCCAAAAACCCTGTTCGCATTGGAGCATAAGCGAAACGAAATGATTCCGGTGATTGTGACATTTTTGCAAAAGCAAGTTCGCGGTTGGATTGCTCGCCAGCAATTCAAACGAATGGTGGCTGCTGTTACCATTATGAGATATTATAGCCAGTACAAGAAGCGAAAGTACATGGAGGAACTCGCCCAGAAATTCCGACATGCAAAGAATATGAAAGATTACGGAAAACATATTATGTGGCCACAACCATCATTGGCAATGCGCCGAGCCGAACCTGGACTCAAAATGCTGTATAATAAATGGCGCGCATCGATGCTACTACGCAAATTCCCACGCTCCGAATGGGCTCAACTACGTTTGCAGGTTGTTGCTGCCAGTGCGTTGAAACAACGACGCAAATTCTGGGGCCAATCTCGCCGTTGGCTCGGCAACTATCTGACCAATCCAACCGAAAATACCAACTATTCACATTATAATGCCAGTATTAATAATATGCGAAATTCGGACAATCATTTTACAAAAGTGTTATTTTCGTCATTTGTGAAAAAATTCAATCGCAACAACAAGAGTGCTGACCGCGCTCTTATTTTAACCGAAACAACCGTATACAAATTGGACGGCTATAAAAACAAATTCAAAAATATGTCGCGAACCATTGAAATTAAAGATGTAAGTATTTATTGAAATTATGTCATTGGAACAGTGCATTTACCGGAGTTTTTGTTATTGTTTTTTTTTTTTTGAATGAAAAAGTTGCTAGGAATTAGCGTGAGTCCAGGAAAAGACCAACTGATTGTGTTCCTCTCGCCGAAGGAGAATGACTTGGTGGTGGCTTTACAGGGAGAAGATAACTCATTGAAAGAGGACCGAATCGGCGAATTGGTAGCACTCGTTGCAAAACGATTCTTTGAGTAAGTCGCATCAACTTGTTTGAATTGATTTATAACATTAGACCAAACATTGATTTTTAGAAATAAATTCGTTTGAAAAAAATAAAATTTGATTGTTGTCCCAAATTCCAGGATCAACCGAGCTGATATTCCCGTATTCGTGGGATCAACAATTTCGTGTAAATTAGGGCAAAAGCCACGAACCATAACCATCGAAGGTGTCACTGGCATTGAGCAACCGATATTCAAACATTCAGGCAATACAATCATCTTTGAAGTTCCATCTGCTTATTGTAATTCTATTTAAATTGTATTTTTTCTTCTGTATAAATGAGACGCAACCTGTCACATTTGAATTTTTTTTACAACGAATTTGAAACTACGAATAGTCAATAGTCCGTTCAACTATTGAAACAAACGAACACAACTACACAAAACAAATTATCCTATTCAATTAATGCTTTACATTTTTTTTCTTCGTTTTTTAAGTTAATGTATAAATCAGCAACAATTGTGAGAATTTGAAATAAAGTTTAGCAGATGAACATTTTTAAATTTATTAATATTGCTACATCGAAATCTAATTGTACTTAAATATTCTATTTAAGAGATACAAAACAATGATAAAAAAATAAATAAATCGTGTATTCAAATTGAAATGTTTTCGATCGTTTTTTTGTTTGTTTCATCAAAATTTGGGTCAATTTCTGCATTCGTTTAAACGAATTTTGTAGATACTCTATGCAAAGTACCGCATGTGTACTTAAGTTCGAAAAGTAAACAACGTATGGTTTGACATTACGAATCGGTATCGGGCAACACTACAAGGCCTATTCAGTGTTTTGGCGCAAAATTTTAGCGGCAATCCGACAAGCTTCACTACACTCTCTTCATTTACGGTGAAAAAATCGGCAGATACACATCAGCTCTTTGTTTGCAACACATTTTCAAAGTGTTTAACTTGTTGAAAAAATCAAGAAACTTCATCAAAATGTAAGTTTTATTGACTTATTATAGCTTCTCTTAGTAATGGAAGACGAAATTTTTGGTTGACAATAAAAAAATTAACAATAATTTCGATATTTTTCATGTCAAACACAGGGTTTTAACAGTTGAAGATACCACTCTCCGTTGGGCCAAATTGACCGAGCACGCATTTGAACCGACAAAAGGTTCCGAACAAGCAGCCGGCCTTGATTTACGAAGGTAAAACCATTTTTTAGTGAAAAATTTAAAGTCCATGTGGTTGAAATATTCATCGATTTTTCGCATTGATTTCAGTGCCTATGACACAGTTGTACCGGCTCGCGGCAAAGCATTGGTAATGACCGACATTCAAATCGAAGTACCGTTTGGAACATATGGACGTGTTGCACCGCGCTCGGGATTGGCATGGAAGAATTTCATCGATGTTGGTGCCGGTGTTATCGATCAGGACTACCGAGGTAAGATTCATATTAACATATCGTGTTGAGATAAGCAATATATGCTCGTTCTTCATTTAGTAAAGTCGAGTTGGTGGGTTTTTTTAAACCACAAATTCATGATTGTTCAATTGTATTTCATTTTTGTTTTTCGTCTTTCTCATTTCTAATGCACAGGTAACGTCGGTGTCATTTTGTTTAACCATTCGGACGTGGAATTTGATGTGAAAAAGGGTGATCGCATTGCTCAATTGATTTGTGAACGCATCGTTTACCCAACATTGGTTCAACTTGACAGTCTCACGGACACATCTCGCGGTGCCGGTGGCCTTGGTTCAACTGGAATTCAATAAAATGAGCACCTATTCGCTGCCAACCAAAAATATTCACACTGTTATACCATGTAAAACATGCCATTTAGTTCATTTTCCATGGAAACGATAGTGATACTTACAAATAACCTAAAAAAAGATATTCAAATCGTACACACAATCTCAATTCTATAAGTTGGGTCGCATTTAAATGCATCAAATGTTAACGGAAACATAATTTTCAATGTCAATAAAAGAAATTCCATCGATATAAAAAAAAAACCAACAAATCAACGATTTTTCTCTTCTCAAGTGAACATAATAGCATCAATTTGCTGCGAATGTCAGAATCTCACTACCGTTTTTGTCGATTTTCAATTTGCTTTGTATCGATACAATGAACAGGCTCATCAACTGTCAATGAATGACGCTGGTTAATGTAATAATGTACAATTTGATTTTATTGATTGAACTTTTATGCGATTTTCTAGAGGTAACAAATCATAAACAGTAGACACGGTAAAGCAAACATCACTCACATACACACGCAGCACAAGTAGCAATGGTCATGAATAATGTAATTCCCAATATAGTATAGGAAATCATAGAGTAATGAGTGTTGTTGTTGTTATGTTTTTTTTTATGTGCATGGATTTTATTGCAATTCTCAATTAGAAAATAGCAAACGGGAATGCACATCAAAGCATAACCACACAAAATAGAAGAACAAAAGCAGCAGCGGAAAAAAATAAAATCATCGACTTTGAATTGGTATGAAATCATGATCAGAGTGCTGTGCAATTTATTTTCACGTGCAGTTTTAGTGAAAATTTGTCAAGCGGAAATCCTCAACGAACAAATGAGCTCTTCAAATGCCTGCTTCAAGATGATTTCTATGTATATTTAAGCGCGCTGCTGTTTGGTTGGCTTTTTTTTTTGTGAATGATGTAAGCACATTATTCCGTGTGCTTTTGTAGCACATTAATGTCGGAATGTGCATCAGTTATTATCTGTTGGGAGAAGAGCGAGAAAAAAAAAATTATAGAAAAGCATAGGCAACCAATTGGTTGTTTTGCTTTGCTTTGTTTATTTGGAATAACTGTTGATACGCTATGAAATTCTCCCTTTCATAAAAAATTAGAAAACTGTATGAATTTTCCAAGAAATCCACCAGAAGAACAAAAGATACGCTTAGTACGACATTATTTGACCCGCAAAATCACGATTTTCGATTTGGATAAAGGTCAACGGAATACCGCATTGGCGAGTGAATGCGAACTATTCGGTATTTTGTTTAAATTGATTTTACAAAAGTAAATTTTATTCATTCTTTCCGATCCGCAGTGGTAGATCAGTGCAGACAATGTTGTGGTGAGCAGTCACACCACCTGAATCGATATCCAATGATCCAGAAATATTTATGAAAGGTCAGCAAACTAAGTTGGTTGTTCAATGCAATCGGGCAACCAGAGCTGTGCGATATCCAGCCTAGTTCTCATTTTTCATGTGTGTGTGTGTGTGTGTATTGTGTCTCCGCTTAGATACATGATCAAGAACCATAACACAAAAAGATTAAATACGAGAGAGAGAGAGGGGGAGGAAGAGATAGAGAGCGAAAAAAAGAAATTGCATCGAGAGAAGAAAAAAAACAAGTGAATAATTATGAAGTGAGCGCACCGAAACCGTCGGGGTTGACCTGTGGTAAGTTCAGTGCGCATACATGCGATTATATTACACATCGCTTACGCTGAGCTACGTTCATTTCATTTTGATTTATGTTTCGCCATTGCAGTTAGCTGGTTGCATTTGAACACCATGCATACATATTCGGTGTGCACCATCATCATCATCATCATCATCATCATCATCGTGTCTTATGATTTTTGTTACGATTGTTGCTTTTGTGGTCCATTTTTTTTGCCACGAATTTTTTTTTCTGGTTTCGACTAGGCTTTCACCATTTCATGAGTGTTTTGTTTTTTTTTTCGATTCTAAAATGCTAGATAAAATTTAAGCGAGAAAAAGCAAGAAGGAAAAAGAGATCTTGGCTTCAGAGGCTACATATTTTAAAATATATAACCAATTATTTGTATTGCATACGATGGGCAAGAAGAGCGTGTAAAGAAATTCTTGTTTGAATCTCAGATGAGCAACGCATGTCTTTCAAATTTTTTGTTTTGTATTTTTTGTTCATCGATCATTACTTCCTAATTCGCTCGATTTGCTGTTCTACTTTACAGACTTTGAGTGTTTTTTCAATCATAAATTCCATGAAAAAAAAGAAACAATTTTACCATATATTGAGGTGAATTCCGTGAAGTATCAATTGAATCAACACCAAAAATGGTTGCATGATATTTTTAAATCGTATTTCATTTTTTTCAAGACGAAGTGGCACGTGTTGATATTTTCAACTCAAAAATACGCTGTAAACAGGTGCATCGAGGCTCGTATGCCGTTATTGCAATAACCTCTACCAATGAACTCTATTGTGATTTGCTGCGATTCATTTGCACAAGTGTTTCAATACTCCATAGCAAAGTCTCTACAGTCTACACACACTGATTACTGATACGAAAGTCGTATGAAAGCTAAAAATGGTATCCTCTTTATCAAAAGCGACCGTATAAAATTATCTAGGCGTGTTCTTTACTGGAAAATCTTAAGGCGAAGTCATTCGTTTCAGCAAAAAATAACATGGACAACTCGAATAAATCCGAACTAAAACAAAAACGCCCAAGATTTCGTACATATATACGAACAAGCCTAGAAGCAACCGTGTCCGATAATATTAATATCCGAGTTGGGTTCATGTTAATAGCGCGCTATTTTTGCGTCTGGTGTGTTCATCAGCCAATGTTGGTGTGCTGCCAAGTTGAATAGCGGCTGTGCGCTAATGATTGAACCAAATGGCAAATCAACCATGGCTACGGATCGGAAATTTACGAGCACTGGGGGGACACACAAAGATCCAACCAACACATGCAATCCATTTGTTATTCTACATGCAACAGCTTTCAGCAATATTATTATGTTGGACATCGTTATCATTAGAGATGTTGGCAGGTTCCAGCGTTGCAACTCAAGTGTTTGGGATGTGGTAAATATACTTTGATTCGGTCGGTTTTTTTCTGCTTCTTTTTTGTTGTTGTTGAGAAACGTATCTGAAGTCCTATTAATTGCGTTCTATTCATTTAGCGGCTTCTACACGGTACATAAGAACTGGAACCGCTTTTTTTTGCCCGCTCAATCACAATGTTGTTACTTTCAGTTCAATTCCGTTTTGCTTTGAATCTCTCTCCCTCTCTCTTGCTCTCTGTGCCTATGCTGTTTAAACCTGACTGTGCGTATTTTTTTTTTCAAACAATATTTATTATTATTACCACACCGCCAATTCATTGTATTTTAAATTGCATTGCTTGATTCATGTGCTCGCATTGAATTGAACCGCTTCCAGTAGGAAAATGCACGTAACGATCGCAATGCCACGGCACTTCGATATTTTTAATAGTTTCCGAGTTTTCTATGCGATTTTTCTTTGATTCTTTCGTGTGTTATCTCTCTCACACTCACTCTCTTCATGCAACATTATTCATTGCAGTGTATCTTTTGATTTTTGTGGTAGCTACTCGTTGCTGTGTTTTGTGCTCTTTCTCGCTCCTCTTCTTACGCACTCTCGATACTACTCATGTACTCTTCGGCCACTGCTGCCTCTGTAACCGTATGACGATTTAGTCACCAAACACAGAATGTTCACAAGACAGCAAACAATTCGAAGATTAGAGTTAAGAGAAGCGATAATAATTGCATGCATTGGCTGTTTGGGCGAACTCTCCGCACTCATCATATCACATGCTAGTATAGAAATGCATGTACCCGGCGCGACGGTACACACTACCGTTTCCAATGTGTTACATTATCGTTCTGTCTGTTCGTCGTAGTCGTCCTTTTTGTGGTGCATCGTGCCAAGTACATGCGCGCACATACACCAGAGACTCTCTTTTTCAAAGATTATAAAATTTTCTTCTTTATTCGATCATTTTATCGATTCGATCGTTTCATGCACCCATTTATTCTTATTTATTGTGGATATGAAGTAAAAATTCACACACAACAACAACAACAACAACAACAACGCAGTTAAAACAAAACTAACTGCTTGCAGTGCGCATAGAGAGAACTCATTCGACCACGAACCATCAAGGGATTGCTCGATTCATATTGTAAGATGATGAATGGATTAATTTTATCGCGGTGCGAAAAGAGAAGAAGCCAACGGTGGAGCGTATTGAAAAATATTGAAAGCCACCGCCAAATGATGCCAATGTTTTACATCCGTAAGAACAGTAAGCGGTGGACCGGTCGACTTAAGATGAACCAAATCATTGATTTTCAAACCGAGTTTGTAGCCGCACGTTCAGAACATGATTTAAATTAATTAGCAGGATATTCATGACTTCTCTTCAAAATCGCATTGCACTCGAATAAATTTGTTGTGATCGTGTGTGTGCATGAGTGAGAGCCAAATCAAATAGAGAGAACCAAAAATGGTTCAACTTGTTTATAGGCGGCATTCTCTTTTGATTTTATACGTTTAATTTAGAAATTATCTTAACTTAACATTAGAAATATCGAGATATGAAATATATGATCCCAATGACCTGGCACAAATTGTTTTCACTCGTGTACGATTCGATCAAGACAGAGAGAGAGAGGGACAAAGAGAGGGAAAAAAACAAGGGAAAAAACCGGCTCGGTGTCAAAATATATATTTTCGTGTTAAGGAATTTAAAATGTACCAATCTTATTAACGCCTCGTTCGATTTGGCCAACAGCAGCAGCAGTCAAAGCCACAGCAGCGGTGAACAGTGTCCGCTATTTCAATTCGTTATCGTTCACATAATTATGATAATCACCATTAGGTGTAAAGTTATGGAACAAAGAAAGTCAATGGAATGGACTGGAGCACAGAAGAACAGAAATTGAAAGAAATTTCACGTTAATCGAAATTGCAACGAACTGTGTAACGACCAAAACCATATTCTCTCCCCATTGCACTCGCATTAATACTCTCCTTCTCTCTCGCTCGGTGTATATGTGTAAATGATTTTGCCTCTCCGCCAAGTTTTCTTCAATAAATATTGCATTATCTCTGTGCGATAATGAAATACGTACATTTTGTGGAGCAACAACAACAACAGCACATCGAATGCAGTTGAACGACTTCGGCTTGTCTGATTGCGTTCATGCTTTACATTTGATAATATTCGATTGAAATAAATGATTTTTG